AGTAGGTTCCAGTTTGGCTTGAGTCAAGCATTAACACAGACTGTTATTTCGCAGATTTGTGGGAAATAAGGGGAAGAAATAAGCCACATAAGATTCGAAGAATTAGTAACTATCACATATTTGTGTATGTACTGTATGTCACACCAAGAATCCCTTTCATCATCTGGATACTGGAACCTAGTCATAATTATTCCACCTGCCCAATGGCTCTTTGCAACCATTGTAGCATGAGCCAGGCTTTTGACTTTTACCACTTAGATAATGCATTTGCCACTTGACAGTCACCATATGCTTGTATTTCTTTCGGAGCCCCTTGGCTTGCCTATTGATCTTTTGTGTTCCTCTGTCTTGGTCTTTCTCGACGAATGATTATGTGAGGTCACTCACTGGGCAGGTGCTGGGAAAGAATGATAACCTGTTTGGAAAGCAGTTCTCAGAGGCATCAGTTTAATAAGAATCTCAAGGTGCTGGCACGTGCTTTGGTGTAAGGGAATGGGAAGAGGGGGGCAGACAAGGAATGTCAGTGGCCCTGGGTATAAGTACAAAGATGAGTGAGCCACTCTTTCACAGCATGAACAGACACCTAGGCAGAGCCATGTACTGATGGCTAGGACTCCTAGAAATAGAACTTTAATCCCTTTAAGAAAAAGGGTGAGGTTTTCTTATTCTGTAATCAAGTTGCAGAAAGATGGCTGTAAAAGAAAAACAATATATTCTATGTCTCCAAAGACCTCATTTTCCTGTGAAAATTATATCTCAAGCATTTATTTGTGAGTTATATCATATATTGTCTATGAATCATGTTGTTATTTTGTGTGTGTTTGAGGATGTGTATTCTCAAGTTGCCAGAAAAGTGCTTTAGAAGCTCCCTTCCCCCTGCTGTGCCCTATCTTTATTCTTATTTTATTGTTGTTGTTAGTTTTATAAAATATACTTCATTGTTCATGTGATTATGGGAAGATATAGAAACATTCAGTCACACCATATTGTGACATTCCCTTATATAAAGGGCAATCGTTAAATTACTGAACAAGTAGCAAGGCTAGTTATGAGGAAGTCTGAATTGTTAAACTTTATTGAGTATAGTATTTTAAGCTGCTAAAGTTTTGATTATGTATTATATCTCATGTGTGACTCTTTCAAATTATCAGTTAGATAAACTGAATGATTGATATGAGATAATCCTAGTTGACTTCTGTACCATAATTTGTTAATTAGTACGTCTTAGAATCTCACTAGTTTGTGTGCAGTTTAGGACTAGGGATGATATTATGCTTGTGTTCAGTCTAAATATTAGCCTCTAATGCTTTGAATAACTTAATCTAGGAATTATAAGTAATTATTTGTACTTAATAAAGCTTTGTTTTATGTTTTTCTTGCTCTTTCCTAAAATGTAACTAGTTGATAAAATTTTGGAGGGTTATTATTGCCTGGAGACTATGTTAAGGAATCAAGGTAGAATTTTAAACACAAAACAAGTGTCTTAGTTAGGGTTTTATTGCTGTGAGGAGACTGATCATGGTGTCACCTATAAAGGAAAACATTTTGTTGGGTCTGGCTTACACTACAGAGGTTTAGTCAATTATCATCATGGCAGGAAGCATGGTGCTGGGGAAGGAGCTTGAGAGTTCTACATCCAGATAGGTAGGCATCAGGAAGAGACAGAGTCACTTGGCCTGGCTTTGAAACCTCAAAGCCACCCCAATGACACACTTCCTCCATAAGGCCACACATACTCCAGCAAGGCCACATATCCTATTCCTTTCAAATAATGCCATTCCCTATGAGACTATAGAGGCCATTTTCACCCAAACCACCACAATTGGAAATAATACTGAATGCTACATGAAGCCTAGAGATATTTTTAAATATTTTTATTAAGTTGTAAATATTGACAAATTTTATATAACTAATACTTTTTTAGTTTTGTTTTCTCTTATGCATACTCAATTTAATATTAAATTTAAAAATATTCCTTTTAGTTTGAGATTATAATTTCATCACTTCCCCTTCCCTTTCCTCTGGACAAACCTCCACATACCTCCCTCTTTTCTCTCTCAAATTCATCACCTCTCTTTGTTGTTATATGTATCTCTCTCTCTCTCTCTCTCTCTCTCTCTGTGTGTGTGTGTGTGTGTATTCCTAAATATATAAATGAAATGTGATTAATCTATAGAATGTTATTGCTATGTATATGACTGATTTCAGGGCTGACTACTTGGCATTGGAAAACCAATTGGTGTGCTCTTTCTTGGGGAAGACTTTTTCCCTGCTGTCTGCCATCCTTACTTAGTTGCTTATAGTTCTTTGTGTAGGGCTGAGGCTTCCTGAGCTTTGCCTCTTCCACATTAGCATGTTCATTGGTATCACCCTTGTTCAGGTCATGTTTAGGAGGCCATATTGGTGAAACTTCATGGGTGTAGCTTCTGACATTTCTAGGAAACAAAAATCTCATAGGAAACTCCCCTTTAATATGGTTCTTAAAATCTTTCTGTTCCCTCTTCCACAATGATTCTTGAGCCTTAAGTGAAGTAGTTTGCTGTAGATGAATCAGTTGGGACTGTCTTCCACAACTGCATTTTGATGGATTCAGGATTTTTGTAATGGTCTCCATCTATTACAAAGAGGTTTCCTCGATGAGGAAAGAGAACTTCACTTATTTCTGGGTATAAGAATAAATATATAGAATATAGTTAGGGATTATATGTGTACATGATATGAATAATGTCAAAGTTTACAATGTTATTTGAAGTCTGTAATTTTACTGTATTTACATTGATTTCTGAGCTATATACATAATGAACCTATTAATTCTATTTCACATTGTGTACATACTAAACTATTCAAAGACTGAGAAAATATTCAGCATGTTATGCTTGCCCTCTTGAGAAGTATAAATGGAGCCTTCTACAAGGAGGACTTCTCTGAGGCTGTAAGATCCTCTCTCTCTCTTTATTATGCATAATGTACATTTAACAGGAAGAGTGTCTGAACTATGGTGGTGTTGTTGACCTCAGTACTTTGCCTCCCTGTTTTTAGTACCAGGGCAGCCACTAAACTTCAAAGCAGAACCTGAATCTGAAACAAGTATTTTGCTGTCTTGGACACCTCCACGTTCAGATACCATTGCCAGCTATGAACTGGTCTACAGAGATGGAGAGCAGGGAGAAGAGGTAAGACTTACATGTCTTTTATTCTTTGAGGAAAAGGTTTACTCATGAAAACAGGGACTTGACCAAAAACCCAAATGGGTATTTGGAGATTTTGAGGGTGAGGGCCATAAAAACTATTGTTCCAAGTGAAATGTTTTTTACTTAGCTCCCCGCCTCCCACCTGCCCGGGTTTAATACTTTATAAGCATCAAATCATAGGGGGATAGAAAATCTGTGAAGTAGAGGGACACTTTATTTTTCTTCTGCAATAGCTTATAATGTGTATTTAGACTGTTATGTAAACACATGACTGATTGAGCACTGTATGCTTCTAAAAGTTATTAAGAAGATGGATTTGTTCAGACTGGTTCAAGAGAAAGATGCCCAAAGTAAATGTTTACTGTTATGCTAAACATTATTTGATATGAATATGAATATATATAAAATGTAAATATGTTATACATGTAAATAATCGATTGTTAATGGTATAGAAATCACAAGAAAATGACACTTAATATGCAAACTTACCATTAACAGAGATCTCTCAAATTTCCCACTAAGAATTCACCAGTCAGTCTTCCAATTGTCTGCTTTGTTTCCATTATCTTTTGATCTCTCCCAAAGCAGCTCACTAAGCTCTGAGCTTTTCCAATACAAAATTCTAAATGCTTCTACTCCTCCCACCAAAAAAGAAACGTACCATATGGTCAGATACATCCCAGTAATACCACACTCACAGAACCAATTTCTGTATTAGTTAAGTTTGGAGGTAAAGGTTTATTTGGAGTACATATCTTGACTATAATCCATCACTGAGAAATGTCGGGGCTGACACCCAAATAGGAACATGAAGGCAGGGACTGAAGAATAAGTCATAGACAAATGCTACTCACTGACCTGTGCTCCATGCTTGCTCATCTTGCTTTCTCATACAGCCCAGAATCCTATGCCAGGTGTGTTGCTGCCTATGGTGGGCTGGGTCCTCCCACATCAATAAATAATCTAGAAATTGTCCCAGAGACTTGTCTTCTGGCCAGTATGATGGAGACATTTCCTCAATAGCAATTTCCTTTTCCCAAGTGACACTAGGAGTTTTCAAGTTAACAAGAAAAACCTATCTAACACAGATAACAAAGCCAATATAAATTAAGTATTGGAAAGCAATCATGTTTACTCACAGTAAAACTTCAAAACCAAAGCTATTGTTCCTGAGGAATATACAGAAAGTCAATATTAAGTCATTTTATGTCCTCATCAACACTAAATGAAAATTCATCTGTCCTTTTAGTATTTCATTCATATGGTTGAGTTATATGAGGGTCCCTTGGGACTAGTGAGGGCACAATTGCTTTACAATTGTTTAGGTGACAGAATTCTATTTTCTTATTTGGGGTATCTGAAGTTTCTAAGTGCCTTTACATTTTAAAGTCAGAGAACTCTAGAAATGTTTTATATTTAAGCCTTTGTCTGAATTCATCTGTATGAATATCAAGCAGTAGTTGATTAGGAAAAAAAGTTTTAAGATTGTTATAACTATTCAATTATATATGTTTATTTTTAATGTTTACTCTGAGTTGATGCACTAACTGAGTTTGATTATACATAGACAGATATACTTTTGCTAAAATGCAAAGGCAGATTTGAAACCCAGCTTTGATAAACAAGAATTTTAGTTTTCAAGTCCCCTATACTATTAATGAGTATAGAGAAGTTTTTACTTTTTTTCTAACTGTAGGCCATATAACCACAAAAATGTTCTCAACTTATTTGGAGAAAGCAACAGTAAGAGTCTTATTTCTTTGAAAATACTAGGACTGTCAGAAGTACTCTTACTATCATCAGCAATTTCAGATCTCTTTCAGGTTTTTAGTTTTTTGTTTGTATGTTTATTTGTTTTGAAAACAGGTTTGCCTCAAACTCAATAAGTAACTAAAAATGACCTTAAACTCCTGATCCCCCTGGGTTTTTAGCACACATTATGTGTGCTGTACTCTAATAATGGAGCTATGTCCCTAGTCTCTCACTTCTTTATAGCAATATCTTGTGCAATATTGGTAGTTTTAGTTGTATTATATTTGCCCTCATTTGGATTATGGGCAGTCTGGAGGAAACTTAGTTATGTGATTGAATGGAGTTTTGTATGTCCATCATCCTACATGATCAAGGTTGGCTGATGTCTTTTACCTTTGTGGTCACAGTACCTTGTACATCATTAAGGTGGAGTTCATCCAGCTTTGTCCTCTTCTCACCTCCTACATTGTACTGCTGGATAATTGTCATTCTGGAACATTGGCATTCCAATTCCGGCCACCAATTGTAGAAATATACTTTTCAACTATGGCATCTTCATAATTCCCAACATACTCCTGGATATTGTTGATTCTCTTTGCTATATTTTAATGGCATTATGGTTATGCCAGATGTCTGACATTACAAACATTGAATAAGCCATATATGTATCAGTTCCCAGGAAAATGACCAACTCTTCCTGTTACTTGCAGCAGCGAATCACCATTGAGCCAGGCACATCTTACAGGCTGCAAGGGCTGAAACCAAACAGCCTCTACTACTTCCGTCTGTCTGCACGCTCTCCTCAAGGCCTGGGTGCTTCTACAGCTGAAATATCAGCTAGAACCATGCAATCAAGTAGGTGTCTCTCTTTGCTTCCTTGCTGCCCATTTCTCACTTAGGAGATGCTTCTGACAATTTTTTTAACCAACAAACCAATCTCCTAATATGCCGAATCCTCACCAAGTATCTCTGTGGCCATAGACACCATTTTTTGTTGATACTAGACACATAGAACCTATGCTGTTTAGGACCTATCCTAAACATGGATCCAAATAATAGAACCTGCTTTTGCTAGTCGACCTCCATAACTGGAAAATGGGTGCAATAGTTAGATCTGCCCTCATCCAATAAATGATATGGCTGTATGGAAAAATTTCTGGTTGAAAAACAATGCAGAGAAATCAAGCAAGAGCCCATCAGAGCATAGAGTGGCAAAGACAAAACAATTTCCTTTAAAAACAAATGATTAACATGTATTTGTTTCTAGTCAGGAGGAAAGTTCAGTGCATATAACTGGTGTCTTACTCTGTGAGTGTCCATGTAGCCACTGAAAATATTCACAGAAAAATCTCTATTTAGATAAATCTAAGAATAATGGAATAATCACCAGCACATCTGTTCCCTGAATGGTATTTTGTTCCCTTAACTTCACTATCTCTTTTGAGCTTCCGAGCTGCAGCACAGCTGAGTTTGTTATAATGGGCCTTCACCCTGCCCAGAACATATTGTTTCCCATAAATATTATCTAAAAGACTGTTTTCCATGGAAAGTGTGATGGCTCATAATACCATCATTTGCTCTTTAATAAGTATTGACAATTAGACATCCATTCAATTTGTCTTGAATAGTTTTGCAGCTATTGTCTGGGAATTTTGTGTGTAGTATTTTGTCTGTATTTCCTGACATAGTGATGTATTGGGGTAATTTGATGGGAAATAGTTGCTTAGAAGATGGCTGGCTTATTTTAGAATGGGCATTAAAATTGTGTGCTATAACTCTCTTGTAAATCTACTTTAGATGAATTATTGTATACAAAAATGAAACTGCTGAGTATAAATAGTGTAATTTCTAGATGATTCTTTGGGGGTTAAGTAGGTATTTTTTAATTGCTATATTGTTGACCTTTTGTAAGGGATAGATGATGGTTACCAGTTTTACCAAAATTTGCTGGTGGGATCTAATTCTTTACTAGCAATGGTGTCCCAAGAAGAGTTATAATAAAAAAGCTGAAAGCTGACCCAGGGTAAGTACAGTCAGAATCAACAAGCCTGACATTGCCCTCGGTAGGTAAATCTTGGCCTGTGCATTCTCATCCTTTAATGATTCTGCATGCTCATTTTATTTGGGCTACAATCAATATTAGATTAACACTTTTCATTAAAACTGGTCAGGCTGACTTAGAGCTTTTTTAGATAAGGAGAACCCTTTTATGTTTGTTGGGTTTTTCGTTTTTTTTTTTTTTCTTTTTCTTTTTTTTTTTTTAATTGAATGCAGTAGGAGGGCATCTATCAGTTACTGTGCCTTTGTACACTTCAAGATCCTTCCACAAATGAGTGCTGGGCATGAGCGTCCCTTATTCTAGAATGTGGAGAGGAGCACACAGAATGGTCTAAAAAAATGACATTTCTAGAATCTAAAAATTGAGTTAGTTGAGATTTGGGGGGTTCTGGATAGTCAGCAGAGTGGGGATGGGCGATACCAAGGAGTTGGTTTAGAAGAAGAATTTAAATTGCAGGTAGGTAATTTTATTTGAGGCTCAATTGTCACAAGGTTTCATTTTCACTCATTTCCCCCATTCATTATTTAACAGTTACTTTGATCATTGATTCATTTTTTTGTTTACTCATGTTACTAAGCCAAGGTACATAAATTTATGTTAAAATTTTTAAGTTTCTTTTTGTTTGTCAGCCCTTATTGTTCATTTATTTATTTTTGCCTTTTCTGTTTTATCATTTTTTCCAACCACTCCTGTCCTTTCACTCAAATCCTCCTTTAACTCACTACCAAAATAAGAGCCATCAGCTCCTCCTCAAGATATTAGTTGCACCAGCCCAAGTTCAACTAGTATTTTGGTAAGTTGGCAACCTCCACCAGTGGAAAAACAGAACGGCATTATCACTGAATACTCCCTCAAGTATGCTGCAGTGGATGGGGAAGACTACAAGCCTCATGAGGTTTTGGGAATTCCTTCGGATACTACCAAATACCTTTTGGAACAGCTGGAAAAATGGACTGAATACCGGATCACAGTGACTGCCCATACAGATGTCGGCCCTGGCCCTGAGAGCTTGTCCGTGTTGATTCGAACCGATGAAGATGGTATGTTGCCTCCGCTCCGTCAGTTCCAACTTCTGACACAGTCTGGGTCTGCTTTTGATAGGCTAACAGTTATCCTCTTTTTTTTTTTTCTGCTCATCATTTTTGATCCAACTTTTTTATTACGTAACTGTTTTTTCCAAAGACCTGCCTTTCCTACATCCGGGGCTTTTTTTTTTTGTCAATTTCAGCACAACAATTTTTCTGCCTTTTAAAGGGACACTTTGCTACTATGGTCCTATGATCCAGATTTTCACTGTACCTCCATCTCACGTCTCCTGTATTTTTCTTGGCATTTTTATTGAATTCTATTTCATTGTGGAATTAACTTTCAAAACTGCCACCTTCTTACTGAGTTTTGTCTTGTGATTTTTTTGGCATCTCTTGTATGGAACGGCCTTTTGATATGAGAAAAAAAAAGAAGAATCCATATAGTCAAGAATCTTTTTATTCTGCTATTAAAAACGAAAACTTAAAAAAAAAACACACAACTATCAACAATCTGTTTTTGTTATTATTTCAATGCAATTCTTCTTTGTGCTTTAATGCTTTGAACCTCAAAGCATCTTCCTTGGCTTTTGTACATTTTTTTTTACATGTTTTTCTATTTCTCTGATACTCTTTTTTTTCTTCCATTTTGGTTTTTGCATCGGTCATGTTTTTTGATCTTTTCTTAAAATGTAGAGCAGATTGGTTGAGCATTTTCCTTAGTTGAAGATGTCTGTGTTCTTCAATGAAGCATAGTGGGTCTACCCATTTTTAAGTAAAGAAAGCACTCTTGCTGGGTGGCAAGTGCCTGTAATTGTCTTTTACCCATGATGTTGTTGCAGTTCCCAGTGGTCCTCCTCGAAAAGTCGAGGTGGAGGCTGTCAATGCCACGGCTGTTAAAGTCTCGTGGCGCTCACCTGTGCCCAATAAGCAGCATGGCCAGATAAGAGGATATCAGGTGCACTATGTGAGAATGGAAAACGGCGAGCCCAAGGGCCAGCCTATGCTGAAGGACGTCATGCTGGCTGATGCACAGGTAAGCCTGTTTTATTGGATAACATTGATTCTAATTTGGGCCCAATTGTTAATTTTTCGACTCTTTACAAAACATACATAAATTCTAGTCTTTAAAACCCATTGCTGTATGTTTACCCTTTCAATTAGAAATAATAACAACTAATAATAAACTGCAATAAAATGTTTTTAAGTCGGATTAAAAGTCACTTTAAAAATGCATATTCTAATCTTTATATCTGTGTCCAAATTCACGTTTCTAACCTCAAAAAATATTGAGTTAACTTAATCAAAAGAAAGTATTCCAAGCTATAGTTTGGTTGATAGCATATACTTTGTGCTGTGTTTAAACTATTTGGACCAAGGTTGATATTTCTTAGTACATGATACTTTCACCAGGGAACAGACATTTTAATTCAGAGGACAAAACTCAGTATTTTATTTAGTATTTCATCAGATCACATATTTTATGAGAATAATTGTTTCCTGTCCCAGAAGGTGAAGATAATGACATAGAAGATAAAAATTAAATTAAGATTTCCAGGAGAATAAACATGATCTTCTTACTAGACCAAGTTAAGAGAATTACTAGAGAGCTGGGGGAAATGCCCAGTCAGTGAAGTGTTTCCAAAAAGAACCTAAGTTTAATCCCCCAAACCCACAGTTTGAAAAAGCCAGTTGTGGTAGCATATATTTGTAATCTCAGAGCTGGGAAAGCAGAAATAGTGTATGTTCTGGCTAGACAATCTAGCCTGCTTGTCAAGTTCAAGTCTAATCAGAAATCCAAATTATGGAGGACAGTACCTGAGAATAATATCCCAAGTGGCCCTCTGGACTTCACAATCACACAGGTGTGCATGTATCCTCACACATAAATGTATCCACACAATGATGTATACACTGTTGCATAGACAGCCTATGCAAACAAAAGCAACTACTAATAATGAGTAATTGTATGTGTGTGATATGTTTGGTGGACCATAGGGAAGTATTTCCCAAACATGGCATCCAGGCCTGGTTTGGTAGTCAGTTGTTTATAGCAAAGCATCTAATAGTTTCACTTTCCCTATATCTTAGATGTAATCATCAAAATGAATGCTTGATTCATCTATTTGTACCTCAAATATTTTCCTAGGAGGGAGAGGAAGACGTCAATGTATAAGTGCTCTGTTGGAAATGGTACATAGCCCAGGGCTTAGCTTGCCATTTCTGTACTGACACTGATGGGATACTGTGGTTATAGGATATTTAAGATACTGGATGCTTCCAATGAGCATGTGGTGACTGATCAGGAAAAAGTGTGGGGTTTGTGCAATTTTAAAATATGAAATGAAAATATCTTTCGTGTGAATGTACAAATGACCAGAAATCAAATGAAAACTTTTACATGAGTTGTCCAGTTTTATCTCTGAAACATATGAGGAGACATGTAACCCTATAGTGCCAATAAAAGCATTTACCCTAAAAAGGTTTTATGTTGTTAACTCACAAAAGTGTTTGTGTTTGCTTCTGTTTTGAAACACTCTAACAAAAGGCTTGGAACCATCTAAATCTGTGGCCCACTCCAGCGGCTCAAACCTCTTACTCATTTGCATCAAATTCTGTAAATATACCTGATGCAATACACAATATACCTTTGACAATAGAAAGAGCTTTCAACAACTCTTTTCATTAAAAGTATGTATTTTGTTCTAGTCATATTAAAATATGTAGATATGATAAAGGAGAAAGTTAAGAAAGGCATATTTAGGGGTTCT